TGGATGGATGGATGGATGGATTGATGGATTTATAAACTAATACATGCATGGACATACATGAAAGAATGCAAATAGATGTCAGAGACTGATTAATAAAACTGAAGATAAATTGTAGAATTTATTAATTAATTACCTCTAAGTTTAAACCAGCAAAAGAGTTTAAAAACCCATGCCTTTGAGCAAGGTCTTTTAAATTTTCAAACAAGTCCATTAGCTGTTTTATCTCCTGGTTGATTCTTTCATTGAACTGGGCCTCACGGCAAATGTATTCTTCTTCAAGACGCTAATTAAAAACAAAAAAATTATATCAACTCATATGAATGGTAACAATATTAAACTTGCTATTTAAGGCACACTAGAGGTCAGAGACCAACCACAATAAGAACTACATCCCATCATAATCCTATTACATTATATTTAATTCTACTGTAAGAGCATTGAGATATTTATGCAATGTGCTAAAATAAGTTCAAAAATTCATGAATAATGCATGAGCATTTGAACCAATTGGAGCAACCAAGAATAATAATATGGACAACCTTATCAGAATAAAGGTGCATCCAAATTTAGATGAAGACTTAGAGCCTCATCAAAGGTCAGTCTCACGCAAGATCATCGACGACCTACAAATTATCGTCGTCTAGTAGTGCCCCAGTCTTGAGTTTGGCATATATGTTGTCTTTAACTGTTGGGAGCTTTTTTTGCACTTACTGCGCATGGCATTGACATACAAACCTCACTGCGCATGACATTGCTGTACAAATGACTATCAAAGTATAAATGTTAATGTTTGCGAGGTATAGGGTCACTCTACTTCAACTGAAAGGTTTTTGAATTATACTCAAATTTTTTGAAGCCATATTAATAAACTCGCAGATCGTGTTTTATCGGGTCTAAAACCACTTGTCTATGCCTCATGGTTTTAAACCCGATAAAACACTCTTGCTCGTTTATTAAGCAGTACATGTAAAATAATAATCATAATTATTAAAGCATTCCCCTAAAACAGCCCCATGATGCAATGTGATCTGCAACTCCAGAGAGTCTAATAGTTAAAGAATCCCAAATAGTATAGAGTTGAATGCTAATGTTGTCAAATATTAAAGCAGTATTAAGGAACCAAGCTAAAATTAGTGTAATAGTAGTGCACTCTGCTTGCCTTGCACCTTAGCATAGGGTTTCAGGTTTGACATCTGGACTTTTGGCATTATATGTGAGTATATATATAGAGAGTCTGCAGATTTCTCTCTTGATTTGAGAGCTTAGCTTGCTCAGCTAACTTACATGAATCTATTGTTCTTGCAACATTACCTGAAAAGCTTCTCTTAATGTCCTCTTTTCCTCCTCCAAAGTCTGATTTCTTAGCTCTAATTGGTTTACTCGTGCTTCTGAAGCCTTTAACTTTTTTGTTAGCCTTTTATTTTCCTCTTTTAGCAACTGATTTTCCTTTTGCGATTCCTCAGACTTTTGCTTCAGTTTTTCCTGTAAAACTTGATTCTCATGCCGTTCATTACAAACTTTCTCATTCACTCTTTCAAGCATCTTCAAATGGAGATGAAATGAAATGAAATGAAAAGAAAAAATGAGGCTTTTACTTGAATGTGCATTAGTTATATATTACTATTACTTCAATATACAAATTATAAGTCCTTATCTTTTCTTACATTTTTTTAACATTTGCAAATTATTTGTAGATCAAATACATGGAGGGACAAATTTAGATCAGAAAAGAAAGAGAAAAAGCACGCAGAAAACAAGAGAAAAAATATTTTCTTATGGTCTATATCTTTAAATGAAGTTATAATTAACTCTGTATATATACTGTTCCTATTATATTACCTCAGTTTGTTTTTTCATCTGCTCACAGAGTTGTGATTGTTCCTTATCTTCATTGTCCGCTTTCTAAAACAAAAATGTCATGTTTTTGGTTAACATATAAATGTCTTCATACACATGATGTATATGCAAAAGTGTATAAGTTAAATTTTTCCTGACAACCATATTTATTTGTATGGAGGCTAGAACTTTTTCAAGCAAATTATATGCTGCCACAGTACTAGTACTGGCATTTCTTATTTTGTAGTGATTTATTGATGCAGCTGTATCGTAAATAATAATGTAATGTTAATGCAGATTCAATAAAAATATATGTTGTTTGGTTGTGCTTATTTTACTGTAAGTTAATGGATTAGTTTAGCTGGGTGAATCCCTAACACCTTTTAAGAATAAATGAAATTCAAGCTCTAAATACTGTAATTTTTATCCTTTTAGCTTAATTATCAAAATTCTAGTCAGTGTTTATAGCTAACATGCATGTACACGAGACTTTGCATGCTATTGTGTATAGTATGTAATAAATGTTTTGATGATATATATAATTAATAAATTAAAGCTGCTTTACATACATTGAATCATGAATTTCAGATTGGTTTCCATGCCAATTTATTTACAAACATGACATTGAGTTGATTACTATGAGATATAAGTACTGAGGTTGGCCGGTACACTGCCACTACTGCCGTACTGCCAAGCTTTCTTCAAATGTAATGTCCTAAATAATGGTGTGGTGGATGGTATTGAGGATTCTCATTTTGTGTGTGACTTAAGCCATTTTAGCCTTGATTTAGATTGTTCAACCCAGAGGTTATGTTAGAGTTCAATATCTGTGAGTTATAGCTACCAGTATAGATGTCCTGACTTAGATAAGCCCAGAGGTTGTTTCAGGGTTCGATCTGTGAGTTAGCCATATCATGCCCTGACTGAGATCAGCAGCCAAGAGGTTGTTTTAGGGTTGACATTCTGTGAGTTAGCTGTACCCTGATTTACATCAGCCCAGAAGTTGTTCCAGGGTTTTTAGAGCTGTGATTTAGCCATATCCATGACCTGACTTCAAATGCATGTATACAGAAGTTATTTCAGATTCAATCTTTGATAACATTTAGGTTTGCCCTGACTTAAATCATGCAGTGATCTTCCACCACTAAGATCAAAACTTATATCTTTAAGATCTAATTTACGCATATATATATATATATATATATAGGAATGCTTAAATTCAATGCCAAGAGAAAAAAATACCTCATAAAGTTGCTTTCTTTCTTCCTCAAATTTATTTCTCATTACTTCTATTTCTTTTTTTAAATTTGAGAGTTCATTTTTCCTCTCAACCATTTTCTGTAAAATAAACAGTTAATTTTTAATATCAAATATTTTCTATAGTTTATCCATATGGTAAATAAAGTTAAAATTAAGTGTGAAAAGTATAACATCAACAATATTTATATTATCCTACCATACAATTTTACAATATATTCATTCCACTAAGAAAAGTATCAAGTGTTAATGATAAAGATTTTACAATAATATTGTAAAACTGTTAACTAATAAAGTGTCAAAGAATAATTGCAAAACTGTTAACTTAAATGTCAATGGCGACAAAAGAATGTTATTAAATTTACATAATTGTATAGACTAGGTAGGGCAAGTAAAGAGAAAAATGACTGAGAAAGAAAGATAGAGAGCGGAAGGGAGATAGGGAGAGGAAGACAGAGAGAGAAAGAGAGAGGCCTAGCTTGGAGTAAAAGGTATTCTGTCTGAAGTTGACCCCAGAGTAAATAGTTTACTCATGTTAAACCACTCTTATTCACATTGCCCATTTCTACTCTTGTTTTAACAATGCTTCTTACCTCATGAAAAAAACGAATAACCTGAAGGCTTTCTTTATTATCATTTTCTTTCTGCTTTAGAATCTAAAAGAATATTAAACATTCATAATTAGTGCTTTTGTATCCATTCCTGGCCTATTTTGTAATTATGTCCCTCCCTCCATGACACTTAATCCTTTTGTACCAAACACCCCCTCCACCCCTGGTCCATTTTGTATCAACCCCCTCACTCCATCCCTGGCCCATTTTATATCCATCCCCCTCACTCCATCACTGGCCCATTTTATATCCATCCCCCTCACTCCATCCCTGGCCCATTTTATATCCATCCCCCTCACTCCATCCCTGGCCCATTTTATATCCATCCCNATATCCATCCCCCTCACTCCATCCCTGGCCCATTTTATATCCATCCCCCTCACTCCATCCCTGGCCCATTTTATATCCATCCCCCTCACTCCATCTCTGGCCCATTTTATATCCATCCCCCTCACTCCATCCCTGGCCTATTTCATATCCATCCCCCTCACTCCATCCCTGGCCCATTTTATATCCATCCCCCACACTCCATCCCTGGCCCATTTTGTAACGACTCCCTTCCCTCCATCCCTGGCCCATTTTGTATCCATCCCCCTCACTCTGCATCCCTGGCCCATTTTGTATCTACTCCCTCCCTCTATAAAGATTACTATTAATATATATATTTTTATAAAACCTCTTCTAAATGCTTGATGAATTCCTCCAGGAGAATATAATTCCATTTGAGTAGCTCTAACTGCTGCCCAAGACATCTAGAGCTCTTTCTCAGATTTTTAATCTCTGCTTGTAAATTAGCACAGCTGTCACATCTTATGGGTTGATTGCCTCGTCTTATTAACTCTCTATTAAGCATCTTGAAAATAATTAGCAATTACTTAACTTCAGTTTTAGTCAGTGGCAAGATATCAGTTATTTAGCAATGCCAAAAACAGGAAACTGTTTGCAAGACTTGTACACTACAGGGATTTCAGAAGTTTTTGGGGTAGTAGGTGATCATAAGTCTAAAGTAGCTGGCTGTGATTCAATACAAGGAGCAAAGGTGATTTTTACAGAAAAGAAAAAGGAGCCAGTGGTTTAAGCTTCAAATATATAATTGACCGAGCCCCAGTGCCTTCCGGCTTATTCCAAAAGCCCTGCACTAGCTGACAAAACATGAAATTTTGAGAAAAAGCCATTCTAAAGATCAATATAGTGATATATCATAGTTCAGAATCAGTACGAACACTAGCTAATAGCATGCAATATTTTTACTCATTTTGGGCCCCAAGGAATAAAAAATATATCTTTATTTGTCTCAAATATCATCCAAAACAGGGTAACATCATTAACATATATATACATACCATCACAATAGCATGCAAAGTCTCAGGTGGTAGCTGGCAAGGATTTTGAAAATTAAGCTGAAAGAAAAAAAAACTGTATTTAGGGATTGAATTGCTATTTTCCCTTAATAAATTTATGGCTAGAGTGATCAAACTTATAGGTACTTTAGAAATCACTAGCCAAATATATATATGTACATGCATGGTTTTACAGAAAAGAAAAAAATAAGACTTTTTGTCATAAGGTTTTTCATTGTTTTCTCCCCTTAAAACTTTATATTCTTTATTGTTATTAAAATAATGTTTCGTAAGCCCTAGAAAATAGTTGGAATTTGCATGGACATTCAGATGTCAAAAATAGTAACTTTTTGATTCCAGAAAAGATTAAGTGAAAAGCTGCCATTTTTAGTAATAATTTTGGCTAATTTCTCCCTGTTTTTATTTTCAAACTAAGATGTCTTAATTTCTAACAGTTTGAACTCATATTTTTGCCAATTTAAATGAGTTGTAAATTTAAGAATTCTTGATGGTGCATTTTGTGGGTATGTATGAAGTCAAAATAAAATAAGGAATCAAAATGAACATTTATTTAAATTATCAGTACCTGAGAGGAGTTTGGATTTGGCGATTGTAAGCCTACGGGAAGCTGCTGCAATGGGTTTTGAACAGGGTTTTGATCAGGAAATCTAGTAGATTGCCTGGCATCTCCAAGATTTTCAAGCCTAGGTCCATGAGAATGCTGGTAGTTACCAGATTGGTATAAGTCTCCAGATAGAGGACTAGGATATGCATGTTCTCTTGCACGGTCTTCAGTCGATGCCCTACGTACTGTCCCATAGGTCACTGCTGGGGGACCTTGATCACTATTGCCTACCACTGAACTTCTGTCAGATGCCTCCAACAACCTTGGCTGGCGCAAGTCATGATCACATTGCTCAAATGCACTATTTTGTTCAGCAGGATCAGACATATTACTTGTTCGCCTTGGAATAGGTTCATTTCTGACATAATTTTGCTGGCTTCCATCTTCTTCAGTACTTGAATAATCAAAGGTTTGTGAATCTGGGCTATTCTCTGTCATATCCATACTCCCTGGGGATCTGAAAGCAGTCGCTTCCTCTCCTGGGTTACTGCATTTGTTGGGGTTTCTTTGATCATGGACATTCAATTCTTCTGTATCCTGGGTCTTGCTTTCTGGTGCTGGTGGGAAATTCCGGGTTGCTGCCATTGGATTGGCTTTAGTTTTCAAATCTTTATCCTCATCCTCATCATATACATCAAATACAACTCGATAGTCACTTGAAACTTCTATTCTGGATACAGTAATTTCTGAAGATTTGATTTCCGGTTTTGAGGGAGTGATCTTCAAGTTAGTCATTGCATTTATATCCCATTCTACATCATTATCATGACTGTCATCATCAAGTTTGGTAATAACATGATCATAAGCACTAGCCAAGCCATCTCTACTTGAAGTACAACTCCTCGATGCAGTTAATGCTTTTCCGATGTCAAGATCTTGAATCATCTGATCGAAATCATCATTGGACAAGGATGTTAAAAAGTGATCAAGAGCCATAGAATTGAAACTGGATGCAGCTAAACTTGCTTGTTGAATGTCTTCCCTTTTTGAGATCCATTCTTTCACCCTTCTAACGAGATCTTTATCCGACAGAATAAACTTTATACATTCAGCCTTTTCCATGTTAAACTGAAAAATACAAACAATAATACAGGTTTATAACTAGAGAAACCAATTTAATGCTCATAATAAAAACATGCGTAAATTTAAAGTCAATTTATCCATAATTCATAATTTATCCATAATTCCACCTGAACTACTTGATGAAGTCCCAAAAATCATCGATTTAACAGATATAATCAGTAAACTTTCCGAATTACGACTCGTATCGAACGTTCGCGCCACTAAGTACGAATTAATAAGCTCTGCTTACTGTGAATATTCCAAGAAATAAATCGAGTTCCAAGTAACAGAGACCCTGTATTAGGCGCCAAGTATATAAACTCAAGCTTTGATTTGACTTGCTTCGTTTAGCTCTATGGTTTAACTTTCACTTTCACTTTACAATCACGATACTCACTTCAGCTCACCATTTGAATTAGGTAAAAAGAGATAAATATGGTAGAACAGTACATTTCCCGGCAAAAAATGCACGAGCATTTTTTATAAGTGCCGCTTTCAGTGAATTCCGAGAACTTGTTCAAATTTTTCCAATAACAACTAACTCCCGTGATGAACATCGATTTCCAAGAAATAATCACACTCGCTCCATTGGTCACTTCAAACGAAAATTCCCGGAATCCAAAGTAAACAATCGATTTCCAATAAATACTACAAACCTTTAGAATGGACCAATCAAAGCGCGAGTTTACAAGGTGGCCCCTGCATTTGGCTTCTTGCCCCATATATAATTTGGAAATCGTTTGTTTTAGTAGAGTTCTATTTTTTTTGGATAAAGCCAGTTTAACCTTTTTTTCTAAAATCTCTTTTCCCTCCACCGTTCTTCTTTTTTAACGGTGGAGGGGAAAGAATTAAAACTGACAAAATCCAAAATCTTTCCACACAGGCGAAAGAAGACTGAATTTTCAAATTTAAAAAAATATATATTTAAAAAAATTGTTTGGGCTACCTGTGTTACATTAGCATGATTAAAAGTCACTAGAGCGAAAGCATCGATCTACTTTCACTTTAGCTTTCACTTTAGATTTCACTTTAGATTTCACTTTCACCTGAAACTCACTACAGCTTACGATTAGGTAATCAACTAGCAGCAAGGATTTACAAAAGGTAAGTAATGTCAAAAAGTAATGCACCGGAAAAGAATAATCATCCCATGTACGAAGTCAGTATCTTTTCGGCTCAGTATTTGCAAATTCTAGTTTCGACGTACCTTGGCCACTCTCTTATCTGTTAACATTTACGAAGTTAGTTGCGATGCCAAATATCTTCATTTATCGTGGTCAAGCATATAGTAATTAGTGTTACTTATTGCCACGTTCGAACGGTTCGTCTCTGTAATACCTAAGTCTGCAGAGTGCACTAGCCCACGCAAGCGAGTTGGTTAGGGGGGAGTCGATTTCGATGGATTTCCTTTATAAAAGTGCGCATTTTATAACGCCAAGAAAAGTGTGCAAAATAATCCTTGTTATTTTTTGCAGTTAGCAAAGTTTACAAAGTTATATGTGATCGAACAGAGAGAGCGCGCAATATACCTACTTAGTTCTTCCTGGGTACATATGAGTGAGTTATAGGAAGTTGGTAGTTGGTTACCTGTTGGTATAGCTTGGCACAATTCGTACCATAGGAAGGTGATTTATATTCACGATGAGTCTAGAATAAGAAAATATATAAACTGATATCGGAAAAACCGTTAAAAGTTCCGCGCCTTTGCCGGAAGTTGAGCCCACTTTCGAAAGTGAAAGCTTAGTCTTCTACTGACCTACCGTCCTTAAAATGATGCCGAACAGCTGTTAAACCCCTCACCCAATTATCAGGATGGCTCTCATACAACCCACTTTCTAACTAGCTTTGACAATATACTGTATCTAAAAAAGACTTATATCAATGAAGTAAAGGCTGCTTGCTGCACAGAAACATGACGATGACGATATCGAGTTTTTTCTTCTGCAAGTATGATTATACGTGATCGCTATGTTCAAGTGGAACCCTAGTAGTATAAGGATTGGGGGTTCCAACTCAATCTCTACCCCTGTATTACCTGCGTAAAGAGGCACCTCACGGTGATCGTTCGGGTCTCAGAGGTACTATTTACGAAAACCTTGGTATAAGGATTGGGGGTACCAACTTACTGTCTAAAGTAGCACCTTGCGGTGATCGCCCAAGGGGGTGTTTTCCTCCAACGTAAGATTTAAGTCTTATATATGAAGTGTGAACGATGTGAGAGGGAATTTAAAAGGAAGGCTGACCTAACCAAGCACTTGTCAATGCAAAAGAAAGAATGCAAAAAGTCTTACGAATGTTTATGTGGAAAGGAGTTTGAGACCCGTGTGAGACTGTATTGGCATTGTCAAAGTTGCACATACGACTACGATGACCTCATATAAGGTATAAAATATTTCCTATTATATATGGAGTCACGATACAATTTCAACACTGTTTCCATTCCCGGCGAAGGAGAAATCGACCTTAGGCAGTTTTGGGTARAGTCCAGAATGAAAAGGCGACGAGCCTTAGCAAAGGGAGTTGAAGAATTAGGTGCCCTGAAGGCAAGCATCGTGGTAGAATTAGACCTGATAAAGAACGACGATGTCGAAACTACGGTCTGGCTACGCTCCAAGTCATTAGTAGTACTAGAGTCTACTAAACTAACGCCGATTTTGTCGACTGTGCTGGAGGGCATGTTGGAGACGCTTGCCAACTATACCAAAGAAGGATCCGGATGGACGGTAACTGAAATAATAGAAATGAAGATAAGTATGGCGCGTTACGTGCCCATCCGAGGAGGTTCTTACATACCCTTACCAGTTTGGATAGAGCGAAAGAAAGCCATTGTGAGTGTCAAAAACGAAGACAACAAGTGTTTCCAGTGGGCAATTAGGTCTGCCCTATACCCAGTTGAGAAAAACACAGCGCGTATGAGTAATTACCCATCAGACGATCTAGACTGGACTGACGTAAGCTTTCCAATGCAATTACACTGCATACCAGACTTTGAAGAGCGCAACGACCTAGCGATAAACGTCTACGGAGCCAGAGAAGAGACCATAGTCCCCTTGATGTTGTCAAAGCATCCCGGAGAGCGCATCCACCTCTTCTACCACGGCGGKCATTATTCCTGGGTCAAGAACCTAAGTCGCCTATTCTACAGACATACCAAGCATAAATGTAAGAAGTTCTTCTGCGATTCCTGCCTACTTCCCTTTCCCGACTTGAAAGCCCTCAAAAAGCACGACGGTATTTGTCGAGGCGTGGAGGAAGTTGCGCAGCGCATTCAAATGCCAGCAGATAAAGACTTATTTTACGAAGACCACAAGCGGCAAAACAGCGTACCCTACGTCATTTACGCAGACTTTGAAGCTATAATTGCCGATGAATGTCAAGAATCGGGTAATACGCAAAGGAAAGGACTTCACGAGATTTGCTCTTACGGCTATATAGTAGTACGCAGCGATGGTCAAGCAGACGATCCAGTGTTATACCGCGGTAAGAATGCAGCTGCGCGCTTTCTTGAAGCCATTAAGGAAGAAGAAGAGGAAATTCGCCGCCGACTACGCATAGCGAAAAAACCTAAGCTATCGAAGAAAGAACAAGCTGCATATGCGAAGGCGATGACTTGCCATATTTGTAATCAAAACCTTCTTCAATTTGGACGACAAGCTAAGAAGGCATGGTCAGAAGATGGAGCCTATCTTGGAGAAGCGCATTATAAATCCGGAAAATACGCCCGCAAGGGTGAGAAAGCCGGAAAGCCTTCGACGCATTGCATTCACTGTCACAAACCCCTCGAAGATGACTTCTACGTAGACAAAGTCTTAGACCACTGTGAACTTACCGGTGCCTACAAAGGAGCAGCACATTGGAGATGCCGTCACCGAATTGACCCAAACATGGATATTCCCGTCTTCTTTCACAACCTTCGTGGTTACGATTCTCACCTCTTACTACAAGGCGTTGACGGTCACGACGTTAAATGCATACCTAACAACGAAGAGCGTTATGTGTCCGTGACGATAGGCAAGCTAAAGTTCTTAGACTCTCAGCAATTCATGGCTGATTCTTTAGCCAATCTTGCTAAGTATAACGAAGATTCACCAATTTCCGACCTTTACGACGCAGAACGAAAGGGGGTTTACCCATATGAATACATGGATTCCTGGGAGCGCTTTGACGAACCATTACCACCAAAGGATGCGTTTTACAGTACCCTTACTGAGTTCGGTATTTCCGACGCAGAATATCAACATGCCTTAGACGTTTGGCAAAAACATGGCTGTCGAAATATGGGGGATTACCATGATGTTTTTTTTGAGATCTGACGTTGTTCTCCTAGCTGATGTATTTCAAAGCTTTCGTAAGATGGCAATGGCTTACTATGGACTAGACCCAGCAAACTTTTACACGGCCCCAGGACTTTCGTGGAGTGCGTTATTAAAGAGCACGAATGCGCAACTAGATCTACTAACAGAGTACGATATGTACAGATTTATGGAGGACGGTATCCGAGGCGGCGTCTGTGGACCATCAAGKCGTTATGCACACGCTAATAATCCGCAAGTAGAGGGGCACGACCCCGAAAAACCTAACACTTACATTTTCTACCTAGACGCGAACAACCTCTATGGTTGGGCGATGTCCCAATATCTTCCAGTGCGCGACTTTGAATGGACGGAGCCACGTGAACCGGAGTTTTACATGCAAATAAGACCCGACAGTCGCAAAGGTTTCATCCTGGAGGTAGACTTGGAATACCCGCCAGAACTACACGACCTCCACGACGATTACCCGTTAGCACCAGAGTCAATTGAAATWCCCTTTGAGCAGCTGTCGCCACTACAGAAGAAAATGTGTCCTACCTACAAACCTTACAGGAAACTTACGATGAACCTAATGAATAAGGAGAAATACGTAGTTCACTACCGCAACCTACAATTCTATGTACGCCACGGGATGCGGGTCACCAAGGTGCACCGCGCATTGAAGTTTCGTCAGGAGCCTTGGATGCAGCCGTATATTGACTTTAACACGCAAAAGCGCACCGCAGCGAAGAATGATTTTGAGAAGAATCTCTTTAAGTTAATGAACAACTCCGTATTTGGTAAGACCATGGAGAACATTCGCAAGCGCGTATCTATAAAGATCGTCTCCACACGCGAGGAAGYAGAATCCTACGTATCTCAACCAGGGTTTGTACGTTWCGTAGACATGCTCAACTTCTTCGTAATACACATGAAGAAGGTAAACCTATTCCTTAACAAGCCCGTYTATACCGKCTTTACAGTCCTGGAACTATCCAAACTTCTA